TTAGAAGAAGGTGGTGAACCACGACGTCTAGACAGACGTTGCAAAAACTGCATGAGGTGTGGCCAGTGATCCAGCTAGGATAGCACTGTGCTTGAAGAGTCTCTACGACGTGGTATGCTGTGGCCACTCAGATGTGGTCAGTAGCAACTGAGGAATTCAGAAAGATAGGACGAGTAACCAGGCGGGGACTATACTCTCTTCACGATGTGTGAGGCTCCTCTTATCTGCTGAGTGATGAATATCCTTCCCTCTGTTTGACTAGGTTTCCCCCATTTGACTTTCCCTCTTCTGTGTTTTCAAAGATAAAAGGTCAAAAACACTATTTGTCTTCTACAATATTACGAGCAGTCGATCATTAATTTAAACAGTTACTTTGGTAAAAAGGTCGGTTTTTAAATGCAAACGCACTCTGAAGCAATGTCATTGTGTGCAGCGATGCGTCCAATTGCCTTTGTTGCGATTAATGCCAGGTCAGACATATCTGGTTGACATCGCTTTGCCGGAAGCACATGTACCAGGGTGTGGGAAGTTGTGGAGACATTCAAATGCTGTAAGACGCAAGGATGGAGCAGCCAATAGCCTTGGGGTTCATCTGTTCATTTTGACCGGTATGATACACTCGATACTGGGAGGAGACATATGCTGTGTGTTTAGAGAAGTGTTAAGATAAAGTTTTTCTAGACTCGTATGTGACTATTGGAGTTCTGTCATCTTTGCAAAGTCAATGATTGGCGGAACTACCGTATTGTGAATTCGTGACAGTGAGTCTTCCACAGGACTATTTGCACCAGAAACATGTCTGATGTCTGATGTGAATTCTGAAATACAGTTTTATTAACATAACTCACGCTAGGAGTATCTATCCACAGTGGTATGAAGGTCACAATTCTAAATAATGTGGTCGATAAAAACAATTAACTGAAGGCCTTCATAGAGTGACGAGGATGTTTCATGGAGGCATAGATGACAATGTTTTCGCGGTCAAAAGTGCTATATCGCATTTCGCAACCAGAGAGCTTACAGAAAAAGGAAGCTTGAGTTTCCATTTGCAATTCACGAGCTGTTGTAGAACTCCTCCCAGAGCCTCGTTATATGCATCAGCTGAAATATTGAGGGAGAGCTAGGTGTACAGATGCACCTACGTGGTGGCATCTGCAGTAGCGATCTTCCTTTAAATATTTCCAGTGCTTTAGAAGTGAAGTTTATTTTTTATACTTAAATTTTAGGGAAATAATTGGTGCCGCCGGAATATACGCACATTGGGGAATTAAAAGACGGTAGTAACCTACCATGACAAGAAATGCGTGCAATGGATTCAGGGATGTTGGCAGTGGAAAGTTTTGGATCGCTCGTGCCTTTTCAGGTAAAGGACGAGCAATATGTTTATCGATAACATGTCCTGGGAAAGCCAACGATTGTACGCCAACCTAGCAATTGGGTCGGTTGACTGTTACCAAGTGTTTTGAGACTTGGCGGAAAATTTGTTGTGGATGATCAAAATGATTTTTTCGTCTGAAGTAGCTATCAGAATACCATCCAAACAGGCATAAGAAAGTCTAGTCCACGGAAGACATCATGAATGAAACTCCGAAGTTTCTGTGATGCACTGCGTAGGCCGAAATGCGTGCGAAGAAACTCAGAAAGACAAGAGGAGGCGGTGACTACTATCTTTGGGACATCAGTCATCATGGGGATCCTATGATGACCGCGTTTCAAGTCAAATTCGCTGAATACATTCGAACCTTTCAAAGGGGATGTCTAATCATGTATTAGCTGGACTGAATAACGATCTGAGACTGTTCGATCATCAAGCCATTGGTAATCACTACGAGGCTTCCAGTCCATGCCACTGTTCCTAGGCACCACATGAAAAGGTGAAGACCTCGGGCTGTTAGGTGGTTTGATTATACTCATTTCGAGTATATTTTCGGATTCAGCCTTAAAGGCTTGGAGTTTCTCGGGAGATGACGCCGTTGTTTGGAGAGGACGAGTGGGTCAGTAGTTGTGATGTGATAAGTAACATTTGAAGTCACACAAGGAACAGCACGATTAAGTTTGAAAATGTCTGTTTGAAGGCTGGATTATAGCAGACTTCGGACTTGAAGTATCAAGGGTTGGATGAACCAGGTTACAACAGCTACAATGCCGGAGACGGAGAGTTGTGTTATAGAACCAATCAAATTATGTTTACCAGGATAAACTAGCAAATGATAGTGCTGCAAGAGGTCCATACCACTAATGCCAATAACCGCGTCGGCAACGATGAAGACCCAGTAGGAAGAACTGCGATGTTACTGTCTAAAGACCTTCTGCCATGATTTGTGACAGTGGGAAAATTGGAGGGGCGTAGCTGAAGAGGTGTTAACCACTGACGCTATTTTTCTGTCGGTGGGATTAAGCTGGCCATCCTATAGTCACAATCTGTGACATAGAAGAGACAACACAGGAGCAGTTTGTAAGCAACATTAATCGCCACTATTTGTTGACTCACACGTTTCCGGACCTACCAGTATCAAAGGTGCAGGGACAAATACACCTTCTTAAAGTGGCACACAAACGTCTATGGTGCTGACAGATTACAGGTTGTAAGTTTTTCAATGTCGATCGTCTTTTTCCACGAAACGGAGAAAATTTGCCATGACAGCGAAGTATTTGAGTGAATGAAGGACTTCTACATCTAAGTTCCTAAGATCACACAATTAACTTATTTGTTTGATGTCAAGAATGGGTAAGTCACCAGTTTAATGGAGGTACTTATGGTATGAGGTGTTGGTAGGCAGGGCTACATAAATACTGGTGAATGGTTTGATGGCCTCGGCGGCTCTATCAGTTGACTCTGCTAATTCCTTCAAAGGTAATTCATAAGATGGTGCGAGAATTCCTTGCACTCTGTGAGGCAAACTCCGCAACCACAATTGTTAAAAGAAGGTTCTGTTGGGTATTTAAGCCAGTAACTGGCAGTTTCATCTGCAAAAGCATTTGCAAGGGATTGCGAACTCTAGGTTGAATACCTCTGAAGAGTTCTTGCAACTGCTATTAGTCAGTTAGTGCTACTCCCTAGATTAGAGCGTCTTTCTGAAGACCTCTAAGGTCCAGGGAGGGGTTGTCAAGAGGAGCTGAAGAGTCTTCCATGATATTTCCGGGGAGAATCATAATGGCTAATTAAGCCTTAGTTTCTCTTGAATGAATAAGCCGCAGAGTGAATTTGGCTTCAACATGTGGGAACCAGGAAGAGGGCCAATTCGCCTAGAAGATGAGGAGTCGCGACATAACTAACATCTGCACAGGAGAGCCAGTTTCAGCCATGGTAAGACAACTTACGTGATATGTTATAACAATATTTCAGAGGTTTAAAATAACACAAATACACAAGCGATAATAACCTGTTATGAGAAAATGATTGGGGATACAACCGATGAAAGAAATTAAGATATTGATGAATTAGGCTTAATATGTGGTAAATAGTGATATTCGGGCCTCTCAGTTGTATGGTACGCTTGGTAATATTAATAAGCTTCACTACACCGACCCTAACTAGGCGTAATTCCTCCAAATGTCCAATAAATCAGTACTCTACCTAATTTATAAGTAATGACAACAAGGGTAAAATCAAAAAGAATCAGTTCGTTGGAAGTATGCCCTGATTAGCAGAATATTTTAATTAAAATAAAGAGTCGAGATTATTCAGGGGAAGGGACTTAGGACTTATCTGACAAGTATGTCTGAATAAAAAACCCACAGAATGAGTGTTAATAGCACAGTGGGAAAGGACAAAACTGCAGTTCGAGCTAGGATGTATATGTAATCGTTAGAACAGAAACTTGAGAAATTGAAATTTGTACTACAGATGGAAAATATGAGTCTCTGCAAAGTTTTAGGTGGTGATGTATTTGTCCTGTTTGTGTGGTAGTTCGTGAGGGTTGACCCTCGAACGTGGCGAAATGAACCAGAGCAGTGGATAAACCAGCCTCGCTAACATTCATTTAGGATATAATGGTGTGATCATAACGAACTTCTTTCGTTCTGACAGCTGCTTTTGCACAAAGTGGCAGGTTCGTGTATACCACCTGAGAAAGAAGTGAAGATACATGTCCAGAGTGTCATGTATACGCGTGCAAGAAAATAAAATGCGGGAAGTCCACTATGATACACACACTGTTAAGTTCCTAGAAGTCTTCTGTTGTCCTTTGTGTGTGTATTTGGAAGGAGGAATTCAGTGGTCACCACTTTCTTGAATCTTCATAAATTGGAAATAAATGGAACACCAGTAATATGATATGAAACAGCTGAAAAGTTTTTTCTAAGCGTTTCACACCGGACTGCTTAAGCTAAAATATTTTTCATCTTAGGGGTCTCCACGTTTCTCTTCATGAAAAAGAAGGAACTAAATGCCTTCAATCAAAGCGCAATATTTTCATCTTATACCTAACGGAATGTGGTTGTCTAAACTGATACTGAATAAGTAGTAGCTGCTATTTTTGTACCTGTAACTTACAGATAACCACCATCTGTAAAATTTTCGCATTTAACACATTGGTTGTAACCAAAAATTGTTTCCTCCAAGTTAATCGACCCAAAATGTTTCGAGTATTATAACCATTACCTCGAGAACCTTGTTTAGCTTTTAGAGGCTGACGGTATTGATGTTCGCGAATTGTACGGATTACACTAACGCAAGATCTAATACCAACAACTTCTATAGTATTCGTTCCCTGTGGACCAAAGGCAAAGCAAAAGACACTATTCGATCGTTCAAACTACGAGATATATTTCGGGACCAAATCGTAGACCGAGATGAATGCTTAGCTGGCTAGTGATCGTGCACGAACGTGACACGATGGAGTACCAAATTGCATGGATTCTTGACCGGAAGCCTTCAGCTAAACAAGTCGACTTAAACAGTGAGAGTCAGCACCCAATGTTCAGTGATGATTGCTTTTGATGTAGACTTCCCATCTCGGGACAACATCATGTTTTTCACTCAAACACCGTTTTTTCCTCAAGACATCATCTTTTAGGAATATAAGTACTGAAACATGATCTGTGATATATGTTTCCATTGTTTTAAATCTCCCGTGAGAGATATTGTCAGCGCGTGTATTAACAGCTATCGTTCCTCTACGGTGTTTGTTGCGTTGTTTACTTCGCATACTCTAATCTGTTCACGGAATTAGTTGGGGAACATAACTACAATCATTTTAATGTTCATCAGTCTGCGAATTTGTTAGTGGGATATGACGACAGATTATAGTGACAATGCATTATCTGGTAGTTGCCATTTTCTCAACTCGAATATAATAGGCTTGAGTGATGATGACTTCAGTCAAAATGTGAAGAAAGGTCTTTCAAACCACAACACTAAAGAGGAAAATACAAGTACTTTCAATACGAATACCAGCCATTTTGAGCATCCTGGACATAAGCAGGGCAGTGCACTTCAGCAGTTATCCAGTCTTTTAGGCCAAACTATGAGATTGGAAAATGTAGCCGATTTAAAAGGTAAGAGCCGTGGTACTTATTTTTCGCACAATTTTAACAAAAGAGGATGCTAGTCACTCATTTATACACATGTTAGACTAATTTTGTGTCATGCCACTTCATGTTATGTAACTCTTCATACGTTTCTTAGGTATCTGAGTTAATCAACTGCAGAACCGTACCAATTCTTGTGACTGTTAACCATAACCCCGCTATCTCTTCTGTATGACTGAGTGAGATGTTAATACGACTGAAGCCAAAGTGTTGAATGTCATGTCCCGTGTGGCAAAAAAACTGACTCGAAATGACCTAAGAGAAGTAGATAATGCTTCAACTTCCCACTATTGAGTTATGAGTGACCAAACCGTATTGGCTTACTGTCGTTGTTGTTAGGTAGTTGATTTCTCATCTGAGTGCGAAAGTTTCTCACTAAAGCTTATGATTTCGAAAAGCAGCTATCCCGACCAAACTTACAACTCACCTTGAGAAACTAATCGGTATTAAAAAGCAAAATTGTCAGAAAGATGACTGTAGACTATTGCGTTCTGAGGTCTGTTAATACTACATTCTTGGGATCCAACAACCTTTTATTCTTACAAATCAATTTCAGGGACGATTTTGAGTAATTTCCGGGTAGTTGGTTTCAAGTTTTTGGTGTATTCAGTGCTTGTATCTACTTAAATATTTTTCTAGTATATTCTTACCTAATAAGCTCTGCTGTGTTGCTGTTCTTTTGTGGTATGATGACAGACTGGTATCATGTGTTTATATATTTGTACGTTGATAAATGCTTTGGAAGCCGGACTTTTATGTAGACCTTTCTGAAGAGTTGACTACTTCACGATATCTGTGAGAATTTTGTGCATTATGGAATGGGTCAATTCATTACCCTATTTCAGTAGTTGTCTGCTCACAATAAGTTTCGATTTTGCTTGAAATATTGCCAAAATTAAAAATAAACATTGTGTAAACAGCAATTGAAATGCAATTATAATTGATAGATTATTTCACTTAGTAAGTCACGGTTTCGATACTGTCTGTACCTTCAGAGGTTTAACGAGCCAGATAATATACATACTGATTAAGAATCACTGATTCTCACAAACTTGCACGTAATTCCTAGGATGTGTTTCATCTACTTTTGTGTGAGTAGTTTCCCATTGTTACTCCATTTAGGAAGTGTTTCACTCCATGTGCTAATACATATAGCATTTTGAATGCAACTAAGAATTAAGATGCTAGAAATTGTTGTCGTTATTAAAAGCAGTGTGGACATGTATAATTCTGTCACACAGCTCTGTAGCTAACACTGTTCCCTGTACAAGTAGTATTTCAAGTCTTGCTGAATAACTTATGGACTTGATATAAGTATAAAACTTGAGCACTGTGGTAGAGCACAACTCCATTATGGACAAGATTTTATTTTGATAAATCATATAGTATTATGAGCAATAGTTTGTGCTCGAAACGTCATCACTTAATATTACTGTACAACACCGTGTGATTTATCAAAATAAAATCTTATCCATAATGGAACTTATGGACTCGGAGAGAAATTCACCCTCCTATATGCTCTAGCAATCATTTTGTCTTGTGTTTATGTTCTTGAAGTTCAGTCCGGGACTATTCTGATCGTGTTCAGCACATAATGGAAACGACTAGTTCTTCAGAGAAAAATAGGTAGTTGTTTGAAAGTGAACTGAGTCACCTAGCTCTATATGCCATGTTTTGTGGCTAAAGGGCACTCCCTGATTCTGTTCTTTACGATTATTCTTGACTGTCATAATACTTTATAGTTCGGCCATTTTTCTTGCATATTCACTACTAAATCCGTACTCTTCTGATGATTCTCTCCGTTTGTCTGCGACTGCGGCAGTAAAGCATATCGTGTCATTTCTGAAGATATCACTGATATCTTTCAGATGTGTAGTAACCACCACAGTTCCTGTTAAAAACATTTTGTTTTATTCCAAATCATAGATTATTAGTGTTAAAGGTAGCATTTTGGATAACCTGTGTGATTAATAAAGTCTTCACAATATGTTCCTTTAGGAGATATCTCAGAGTTACAAGAAGTTTCTACAACTACTTATTCAAGTGACATAATAGAACTTGTGCACTGTGATAGAGTACAATTACACTGTGGATAAAATTTATTTTGCTAAAGTCTCACAGTGTTATACAGTAATATCTACTGATGATGTTCCGTGCACAATTTACTGCTCATAATCATATTATATCTCCATGATACGATTATGAGCAATAAATTGTGCTCGGAACGTCATCAGTAAATATTACTGTATAACACTGAGACTTTATCAAAATAGATTTTACCCATAATGGAATTACTTATTCAAGTAATATAATTAGCGCGTTTGTCTTCACCAGATGTATACATTGGTGGTAGGTGTAGAATATTTCTTTCGGTGACATGATAACTTGTAGACACCCGACGGTAGTTACACGGTTCTTATACTGTTTGTGCAATCGTACCATCAGCTCTAGCGTTCTTAATTTCGCCTGTAAATTGCATACTAATGTTGCTTTGTGAGAGCTTCCACTACCCGTTTTCAGAATTAATTCTTACAAAGAAAAATTGATTCAAGTAAAGTGTATAGATATGCTCTTAAATCAGGAAATATGACTGTTAGTCCAACGATGAACGAGATGTTTAAAGAACATCGTTTCATTACTATTTTAAGTTATTTTGGGTGCAGACGGGATATGGACCTACTTGCAGCGGTGCACTATTCTACTTCATGTCTGTAAGTAAGATATGATTTTAAATCGTCGATTCCTGATTCACTTCTCACTAATTGTAGCAACACAGCTGGGAATGAAAGTAGATTGATTGACGAGATTGTAAAGCTTCGTAGTTCCAGGTGGCTGGTACATTTTGTTTACCGGACCCCTACCTTGACTGAACAGTGTAAACTGAATTGAGACTGGCTGGGTGACTAGACCGAGATATGACATCCATGTATGCAGTCAGAGGTTGTTATTTTGAGTCACCTAGAGAGACTGTTTCCTGTGGATACTAAAAACCCAAGATCTTGGAGGCAGTGAAGTAGATCAAAGTTATTCACATGGCGTAAAAGCAGCTCATTAAATACTTACACATTCAAATAATAGGCTGGTAAACAGAATTTTTATTTTCTTGTCATCATCGCTAAAATCGAGCTAAAACATGTGTTCTGTTAGTCAGTTACTCTAACTGTTCTTTCTGGTACATCATAAAATTGTGTCCACTGACCTGGTAACACAGACCGAAGGTACTGCATGACTTTGATGCGTTCACACGTCGTCTTTGGTTGTACTGCTTATGACGTCCTGAAGAAATGGAATGAGATACCTGGATTTAAAATCTTTGATGATTTTAATGTTTTCAGTCCTTGTTTTTTTAATGATAGACAAACATTTAATCTTGTTTATTGGCAAGATAATGTAGTCTAATACGTATTTATCTTTTTGTTCAATCTACGATTGTTCTCTAGAGGTACTCAAGTCAGTTGGTACCGGCTGTCAGCGTAAGTAATTACTTGTTGTTCGGTGTTTTGTTGTGCTCTTTTTACGTATACATAATACATAACAATACTATCCCATTTCTCTAACCGATTTTTAGTTTTCCGTAAGTATTAATTTTCTCTGTATTAAATCTCATGTTAGGTAGCCTTCCAACAATCCCCATAAATGACCTGCGAGGTGAAGAAGCTGCTGCCTATCATCGTGAAGACTGTGTACTGAGACGCAGTCTGGCTGCACTATATCGTTTAATAGATATGAGAGGATGGACACACTCAATATATAATCATATATCTGTAAGTAAATGGTGTACATTTTTTATGCTCCTTTCTGTGGACTTAAAGCAGGTCATCTTATTGTTGCACTTTATATTTATCTAAAACGTAACGATTACTATGTCATATATATATATATATATATATATATATATATCTGTTTCTACAGTTATGCTAACTCCTTGGTATTAAAACTAACAGTCGGTAACCTGAAACATTTTAAAAATACACTAATAAATTTTCATACAGTTTGGATATTCCACTTAAAATTATTTTTTAGTCATTAAGTTTGTGAGTACCTCAAGTCAGAGTTTCAATGATGGAGGGAGTTTAAGCGAGTGTTACAAACTCATATTTGTCGGTTCACAATAGCATGATGGTTTTACACTGGAAATGATTTCAGAGCAGTTAAATAGTTATGTATTACTCGCGTATATGATATCTACTTTCATTACGCTGTTGATAATGTATACATATGACAGGGCGTCCGGAGATACTAATACTCATTCTGTCGTTTAACAATTATAAATTAACAGCTAGCTCTCGATTTAATAATTCCAGTAATGGTAACTATGTCATGAAAAAAAATTGTAAGAATTTTATAAAATCTTACTCATAAGGGCATATTCTGTATATTGTAACTTTGTTAATTTGGTGGATGTTTGTTAAGCAGCTTGATAACTAACTTTTCTATTCACTGAGTAGTGTTGTGTTGCTCATTGTGTGTGTGTGTGTGTGTGTGTGTGTACCTTCCGAAATATTCACTAGAAATGTATTGCAGTCATTGAAGCAGTTCGATACATCAGTGTTTGAAACGTCTAGCAAGTGCACTTAGTATGACGAAACTGGCAGTGTATGAAATCACTTTACCGTAAATGAAATCATTGTAGAATACACAATCCGTGGGAAGAGTGACATAAAGATAAAACGTAGTTGTAAAGTTTTACAATGGTTTCCTTTGATTAGTATCATTAATTCCTTTACAGTTAGGGGCATATAAACAGAATTAAACAGGTGACACACAACTCTGGTAACTTGTTATCCCTTACATGACTACTTTATGCATTTTAAATATTTTCACTGCTTCTTATTTCTCCACTAGTGCAATAAGTAGCCTTCTCTCCTTTTTCTTTACTTATTTACTCTGCTGGTTTTATATTTTAGGCAAGATGCACTACAAATCCGAATCATTTTTTGATCAATCCGTTTGGTTTACTGTACCACGAAATTCAGGCATCTAGTTTAGTGAAAATAGATGCCAATGGTAAGTAGGCTTTCTTGTATCCATATGTTATTGAATGATAAACATGGTTTGTGCATCACTGACAGCGAACAAAGTACTTTACACTCATCAAATTGTGACTCATTTCTTGGTCACTGTGTTGCACTGACAGTGTGTTAAACGAATAAACACTGACTAAGTATATATCTGGTGTAAATTAAAACTGGATTTCTTGGCGTGTGAAACAAAGCACATCTTGTTATATTTATTCTTATCCCTTTATTGTAATCCATGCGATCATTTCAGTAATATCTCAACAAGCCACAATTTTTCAGTTATTGTAAGAAAAAGGTCCATTTTTTGACTTCAAGCAGTGCTTCATCTTTATACTGCAAATAAGTAACTCGCAACAACTTCAACGAAGTGACTTCTTGTTCACACACAATCACCGCAATGAAAACCTAATCAATATACAATGATTGATAGTTTCAAAGGCAATTTGTTGAAATCTATCTAATGACTGTGTTAACCCGTAGACTAGAACTGTGATTAATATCAGTAAAAAGTTTGAGCATTGCGGATTAGATCAAATAAAGTATAATTATATTTTAATAGTTTACACACAATGATAAGTTTTTGTTATTGGTAATTTTGCTCGAAATATTACCAATAACAAAAACTTATCATTGTGTGTAAACTATTAAAATATAATTATACTTTATTAGAACTGTGATACTATGATTCCATATTTTATCAACCAAATCTCCCATATTTTGTCAGATAATGTTATTGTTAGATTTACCAACGTCCTCTCCCTTCCACAAATTCTAACCTTATTATTGTTAGTAACTGTGCATCAGATATTATTTTATTGTTTTTATCTTATAAGCTAGTTTTCACAACGTCTTAGTTCTGCTTGGTATTGGCAATTGGTTTGTTGCGTGACAGCATACTTTTTTTCATTTGGCTGTTTGGTCTTAGTTTCAACATAATTCTGTTTTCTGTGCTGTATTGTATCAAGAATTCTCATTTTCAGGTTCACTTTGATAAAACTAGGAGAACTAGAATTTACTCAATTGTTTTTTTCAATTTCTCTAATCTTATTTTTGTGATCTTGTGAATCTTGTGACTTCAGCCTGAGGTTTGGCTCTTATTCTGTCAATATCTACGTAGCATCAGATTCAAAAATATTTGATATTTCTATTATTGGATCACTGTTATAAAGGGTGTCATAATTGTATGTTTGGTGGTTAAGGTTCCTACAACTAAGTGAATCCTAAGTAAAGAAAACTAAAGGTGATGTCTAGACTAACGGCGGAAGTTCTGCACAAAAGGAGCTCTTGCTTAACCGGCAACGGAACTGATAAAACGTAGCTGACAGTAATGGGAGGATAGATGCGAGTATCTGTAACACTTGTTTTGGGTCTTTGTATTTCGACAATTTGGTCTTCATCCTACATTCTAAGGTCTAGTTCGCCAGGCAGTATCATCAAACTTCACTCATTAGGTGTCCCTTATTTTTTGTTGCACGAATCTTTACCATGTCATGAAGCATCTAAGATTTTTCAGTGTCTTAGCGTTATTTTGAAAATATTATCTGCAATACGGTTAGACGATTTTCCGGTTTAAAGCAATACTGTTAATTAATTTTGTCTGTTGGTTTTTAGTCGTAGCCAATTCTTAAAGTAATGCTTAGCGATATCATCACACTAAGTCCTATTTAGTTTTGTTACTAACATCTCATCTATTATAGATCCCAATGCCTTTCAGGATGAATAGGTGTTGACCAAATGTCTATATGTTGTAATCAGTATCCAATGCGGTTAATTCGTCTTTCCGTCTGTGAGTAGTATCATGATTATTTCTTGATATTTGTCTTGTTCTTCCTATGGTCACAAGTTGTTTATAAGAGATGTAATTTTATTTTGATGTAATCCAGACAATCTATCCCCAGCTCTTTTTGAAGATGGTGGTGAGACTTTTAATGGCTCTAGCTGGATTATTCAGGAAGGTACTGGAGATTGAGAGTGTACCATCAATGTGCAACGAAGCCATTATCGTCCCCATCTTTAAAAAAGGTCGACGTAATTCATGTGGCAACCATAGGGGTATCAGTCTGCTACCAGATGCGTCTAAAATATTAGCTGTTGTCTTGCTTCTCAGGCTGTGCAAAACACGTGAGGGATTGATTCGCGAAGAACAGGCTGGGTTTCGTTCAGGTCGGGGATACATTGATCATGTTTTCATTCTTCGTCAGTTGTTGGAACACTGCTACACGTATTGCAGGTCAACAATCGTTGTGTTTCTTAATCTTCGGGCTGTTCTCTGGAACTGTCTGTTAGAAAGGGGTGTACCTGGGTATATAATTAACTATCATCACTGTTTCCAACCAACAGTGGGGTTAGACAGGATTGCCCGATCTCTCCATTTCTCTTTAGCTTTGCCATCGATGACATTCTAGAGTCAGCTCCGAAGGACGTGCGTGAAGGTGGTGTAGATCTGCTCCCTGGAGATAGACTTTTCAACCTCGAATATGCAGACGATATCGTCTTACTGTGCGATAGCACGCCTGCTGCCCAAATCGCACTTAATCAGTTGGCGATCAGTGTCTGTAAGTATGGTATGTGTTTTGCGCCATCTAAGTGCAAAGTAAAGTACTATTACAAGATTTTCAGGAGCCTTTACCTGCACTCACTCTTGCAGGTGAACAGCTTGAAGTTGTTGATAAGTGTATGTATCTGGGTAGTTGTGTGAGTGCATCATTGCGTGAGTAATTCTGAGGTTCGGTGGCGTGTGTTTGAACACAGTGGAGATCACCATTTGTTGAGTGTCGGCATCTGGAAACACCGGTTTCGGTGTCTTGGACATGTGCTGCGAATGTCATCCCAGAGGCTCCCGTACAGGTCTGTGTTGGCTAGCCCTGGGACAGGATGGAAAAGCGGAGAGGTGGTCAGTCCATGACGTGGTGTCATGGGATGAAGGGTATTTGTGCTAGGTTAGCATCGGTTGGTGTGTCACGACTCCCTGGTTGGAGTCCGAAAGATAGCTCGAATCGATGGCCTCTAAAAGTTATCGGATATGGCCAAGAATTGTAATCAATGGCGAACGTGTTGCAATTTCCTTCTTTCTTCCCTTCCTGATGATAGTTGATGAATACTGTTTGGACTTGTTAAGCATGGCTGTTTTTCTTCTTGATGAAGTTCTTTATCTGTATTTTTACTTTTACTTGTATTTTTACTTTTAATCTATGTTGTTTTATTATTATTGTGTGGCTCATCTTCTTGCTGCTATATTGTACGAAGTTTTTCTTCGTTTAAATAATAAATAATAAATTTGATGTAATCCGCCGAATAGAAGTGAATACGTTTATAATGTTTTGGTCATTATAGGCAATATCGTTGATCAAGGTAGTTCAGTGTTGGGTGTAAATAAAGCCGGTTGGACACTTCATTCTGCACTACATTCAACCCGTAAGGATGTCAACTGTATCATTCACGTTCATTTACCGGATGTAATAGCGGTAAGTTGTTTTATAAAAGATTTCTACCTGTTAACTGGAATTAGAAATTTTGACTTGATGGTCTCACCAATCTCTTGAAATTAGCGCTTCAATTAGTCCTACAGAATATTTTCAAGCATCAAATTGCAAGACAGATAAAACTGTAGAATTAAAGATTTCAGCTTATAGGGCCAACATATAACACTTCTCAAATCAGGTCAAAGCGGAATAACCTAAATGTATTTAATAAGAAGCCAGAAGAAAGTATTTTAGGTTTCTCCACTCTACTTACATCATAGCCATCATAGTAGGTGATGGATACGCACGCATAGTTTTTAACTGATACTCTGCTTGATATTATACAGTATTTAATATTGTATCAGTATGTGCTACATCAAGTGAACTCTGAGATTTTTACCGAAGTAGGGATTAAGATAGTAACCACATCTAGTAACTAACGGAGGAGAACCTTTGTGATTTTAGTATTCCATTGATCCAGTTATACAGTATACTCTAACAAACTGTTTTCTTAAGCACACAGCGCGAAACAAATAATATCTGTCTAACATTCTTTTGTATTTCCTCCAATGTTTTCCTAATATAGGTGTCCTGTCTCCGTGTAGGTTTGCTGCCTGTAAGTCCAGAAGCTATCGAACTAATCTCAAACCATGGTGTTCGTTATCATGAATACCGAGGTATTCTCGTTGATGAGTCGGAGCGTGCTAGCATCGAAAAAGACTTAGGTCCCAAAGCAAAAGTGCTGTTTCTGCGAAATCACGGAGTAGCAGTTGCCGCTGCTAGCATTCCTGAAGCTTGGTATTTAGTTAAACGAGTGATAACTGCCTGTCAAACCCAAGTAAGTAATCCTACATTTATCTTGTGTCCTAAAACGTTTGATCTTTATATATATATATATATATATATATATATATATATATATATATATATATATCCGACTCAGTTTGTGACTCTCATTTTTACTTTGAAGTTGAAAATAAAGTTTCTGGTAATATTACACCTAGTGTTCATGTTGTAGCTCCAGGGGTTCCCAAAATGGATCAGAAATTATGTGATTGACTTCAGCATTTTTAATGTCATCTGCGTTTGTGTCGAAGTTGACTCATGGGTCTGTCAGTAATCGATCTATATATTTTATCTTTCAGATGCGTCTGATGCAACTAAGCGATGGAGCAAGTTTATTGTCTGACTTGAAGGACAGTGCAACACGGTTAGCCGATAGTAATGCTGACCATCACGAAGAAACGGGATCAGATGCTTTAAATCATCAAGAGAAGAATGATTCCGTATTATTAAATGGAAAAACAAGCAGTGACAATGGAGGTGAGCCATATTTTTAAGATGTGTAAATTAACTCCTAGTAGATTGATAACTCGTCTAGCTACTCCCTATAACTACGTTGACTGTATTGGCGCACTGATCACAGCTTTCATATTCGACCACCAAATGCTGCTAAACTTTTCCTAATAACTTCACCTACCTAATTTGTAGTTCCTTTCCACTGTTTAAAATTTCTTCATTATTCCAATCAAATTGGTGTCCACAAATGTCGACATGCATCGACATGAAAGAATGCATATCGTGTCTTTTCACAACTAATTTATGTTCTTGGACTGCGTTTCGAAGGGGATGCTCACTTTGATCGATGTAGTGTTTATCGCAGTTTATACAATATGTTCTGTAAATGGTATTGATCTTATCTTCTTTTGCTGTTGGATCCTTTGGTCAGCACAATGTCGAGTGAAATGATTGTATTGGCTGGTGTCTATTTCACCAAATGCTTTTAGTATTCTAGACGTTACTTCGAAAATATTCTTTACATATGGTAGAATGAATTTTCTTGTGGTCTTTGAGGATGGTTTCTTGTTGGTATTTCGATTTGAGTTTAAACATCTTTTGATGAAGTTGTGTGGGTATTCATTCTTCTTGAAGATAGTAGATATCCTTCTCCTATTCTCTTCAGTACTAAAGTGCTACAGTGTTTGAACTCTTTCAAACAATATTTGCACACAGTTTCTTTTGCGTGTTATTGGGTTATTGCTGTTACAGTTGAGTATTTGATCTGTGTGTTGATATTTTGCATACTTGCGTTTCTAAATTTCCTATGTTTGTTCTCCTGATTAAGTAAGACATCTAAGAAAGGAGTTATGTTGTACCGATTCTTCTTCTCTTGTGAATTTAATGTCTTCAAATACGTTGTTAGTTGATTTGTGGATGTATTCCAAATAGTTCCCTTTAATTATTACGAATATATCATCAACATAACGCCCAGATTTTTGGTTTAATTGTGGTAGTGTAGGGTAGGGCTACTAATTCTAATTCTTGCATAACGGCTCCAGCTATTATTCCTGATATAGGCGATCCCATCGGTGTTCCTGTAATCTGTTCGCATATTTGATCATTGAATTGGAAATATGTTGTAAGGCATAGTTCTATGAATTTTATTCAAATTGAATATTGCGTTTTTGTGTTTTCTTCACTGTGGAGTAATTGTTGCACAGTTCCTTTTGCTAGTTTTGAACCAATTGAAGTGTATGGTGCTGTGACATCGAAGGACACGGTAACTGCATTGTCATCCACTTGAATGTTTTTGGTTTTTCCTAAAAGTTGGATTGGCGAATTGATAGAATGGTTGCATGATTCTGCTAGACGTTTTAAACAGGCCTGTTATAGTTCATTCGCCATCAATCTTGTTTTGTAATTTGTCCTGATTTCGTTACTTAATTTAATGCTATTTTGACTTTCTTATCTGATGTTTGTAAGTGGTTTTTCGCCAACTGTCGATATACATTATTATCCTTTATTTAACTATCTGCTTTCTTCGTGTATTCTTCTGTGTCCATGATTACCGTTGTTCTTCCTTTATCAGCTCGTAGTATAACTGTCTTCTCTGTTCTTCAGTTTCTTCAATGCATTTTTCCCTTGAGTGTTAAGCCTGGGTATTATGTTTCTTTCTGTTTGATCATGAGTATGATACATTGATGTATTTCTTGTTGTACTTCTGCATTTGATTTTGATGATTCTAAGTCTATTTTTGAGCCATCGTCAGTGTTGTAGTTCAGTCCTTTCTGAAGAAGTTGTTCTTCTACTTTTGATAGTGGTTGTTTCGATAAATTTACTAGGCGGTGACTTAGCATCTCTTCAGATGGTTGTTTAGAAATCTCAATTAGGTTTTCTTTGAAGACAACTCGCCTTCATTCTTTATGTCGTCCGCTCAGTATTTTGATGGCAGTGTTGAGGGTTCACTCAACCTTTGCTTTTTGAAATCTTATCATATGTTGGCATTTTTTAAATCTGATTGTGTGCATCGGTGATCATTAGGTTTGCGTGTTGTTTGACCAATTTCCACCCCAAATGACAGTTAATCGATGGCTTATATTTGACACTGGTTGGTAGAATCTCTTGGCGGAGACATTCATGAAGAAAAAATAATTGTTCCTTTGTGTGTGTGTGTGTGTGGGCGTTCGCCTTTTGGCAAAGTCCACCCAAAGGCATGTTGTATCTACCATCGCAAGAATACAATGATATTTGAACTGTGATATAAAAGATGTTGTTAAATGATTATTAGATCAAGAACTGACGCTTATCTCCAGTGAATTTTATTGTCGTTTCGATTAACATGAGGTCTATTAGATGATGAGAGAAAGCTGATGATAGGAAGTAACTTAGTTGGTTTCTTCTGATGAAAAGAACTCTTTTTCAAACTTTGTTGTGCAGTAAATTTCCGTAGTGCAGCTGTCACTTTTCACCTCAACACGTTCAGTTTATTTTTCTTTTTTTGCTGTAAAAGTGAAACATCTGTAGGAATGTGAACTATTTAGCGATAAGGCAGGCTTTGTGTTTTCCAAACAGTGTTTCCGGAATTCAAGTCCTTTCCTATCTGATTAGGCTCAATTATTCCTGTAGTCCTTTGGAAACCTGTGGGCTAAGTGCGGCTTATAGTCTACAACGTAATCGTCGGAAGCAGCTGATTCCGGAATTTTTGTTAGAGAAAACTCTTCTACGTGTAAATTTCTTCTGGTTAATCCTCATGGTTAGCGTTGTTTACTTTTTTATGCAGTGCGGATGGACATTAACGGACGAAATCACTGCAGCGTATGAGGTCGGAATTTTTGTTTCGGTCATAACGGTAGTGCTGTGGTGTTCAAGAATAATGGACGTGTGTGTATACATTCAGGGGAATACACTGATAAACATATGTGCATAACGTATTACTGATGCGTCTTTCAGGACTAATGTTTCTTCTAAAGGTTTTAGAAATTTTCTTCACTGATATGTCCTTGTTTGTCTTTTTAAAATATTTACCCACTGACACTGGTAAAAGTATCTTGTGTGTCATGCATTATAGTGAAGCTGTTGACTATGCATCTTGTTACATTATGAAGGAGTAGTTTTCAGGCTCAAGGTTCACGCAGATTTTACCTGGTTATACCATATAGTGGGTCATACAACTAACTTTGATGATAACTACTCAATCCTATTAATTAATCTTCATGGTAAGCACCTTGTTCTTACAACCCGTTTTTCGAATATGGAGACGAATTCTGTATGTTTGATGTATTTAAGTAAGTGCATTTAGCCTTAATTCTACTTTCCTATGTAGTTTTACTTAAAATTGATTATAAACTTCCCATATCTATTTGTCCGTTAGAGGTTTCATGGACTCCTGAAGAACTTGAATTTGAAGCAGAAATGCGTGTTCTGGATAGTGCAGGTTTTCGAACTGGTCATGTTTATCGTCAACCTAATTTATTACGACGCGCTCATCCAAGTTCATCTTGGGCAGGAGATACATATGGTGATCAAGTTACAGGAGCTGAACTATTGACAACTGACTTCTCCAATAATGAATTCAGTGGAGTTGAAGATATTGCTGCTGCTGAAGCTGCTGGTGCTGAGCAAGTGGCCAAGTTAGTTCATAGAATTTTTAGGAAAATGTTATTATACTTGTATATAATATGAGATTGATTTAATAATTTTGGCTTCTCATGTCTAACACAACTTTTTAGCTAAACTTCAGATGACTGTAACATCCATCTGTACATTACACTACATTTCAGGACTATTAATATTATATTTTCAAAATAGTTGCTAAAGTGTTTCACTGATGGAAAGCAAACCTAAATTTATAGGTTAATCTACCAGTAAAAGCATTGTTCTCCGGCAGGCACTTATTTTTTGTTTACCATTCAGCACTTTCTGTACGAAAGTTCGTAACGATCATACTAAGAATCTCATCAATCTCAGGTGTGTGTGTGTGTGTGTGTGTGTTCAGTGATTATTGGTGTTTAACTGTAGATTCTTTCAGAATATCATCCGTATGAACACACAGTTAAGTTACTTATATTGATATAAGTTTAAAACTTGGGCACTGTGATAGAGTAAATCTTATCTATAATGGAGTTAAATTACTAAGTCAAGAAAAATGAATTCACGCGAAAAACCATTATAGGATGCAGTGGATCCTATTGTGTCTAGCTGGCCACTTCAGCTGCCGCGGCTGTGTGTGGGGGGGAACTAGGATTTCTCTTCATAAGCTGTGGAATATTTTTTGTCAGTTTCATTTGTATAAAACATTTTAGAAATCAAATTATATATATGATTCGACGATAAAACTGTAAAATGTGAATAGCATAACTGCAAGATTTGAGCGTTTAAATGTGTTTGGGATCACAGATGTCTTCATAGAACTGTTCTTTTACACTCTGAGGCAACAGGCGGATGTACTGCCAAGAGATTGGAAAATTATGTTGAGCAACTAAACTGAGATTATCGATTTGATATATATATATATATATCACATGTATTTAGAGTCATCGTTATTAAAAAGGTAAAAATTAGGTGACAATAAAATTGCATAGCAAATGATGACTGTCTTTTTTCGTTGTACACATCTACATTTTTATGCGCAGTTTTGATTTGGTCTATCTTCTTTTGTGACAATAAGTTACCTCATTCTTATGTGTCTCCGTCTGCCGATTAGCAGTTAGGAATCCTAATTATTACATTGCGTGTGTTTTTTTAATTAATAAGAAGCACAAATTAAGTGTGTTTAGGTTCTAGCAACGTTTAGTTCCGTGAAGAAACCCTTTCAAAATGCATAAATAATATTAGGGATTTAATCAGCAACAGAAATCTCTGGGAGCGAACCAACCGGGAACCGATTGTGAAACAAATAGGCAGGAAGAAATGGAGATGGATTGGCCATACTCTGAGGAAACAATGCATCAAGTGACATCACTAGACAAGCCAGTGCCCGAGTGGAACCCGAAATGGAAGCGACGAGTTGGTTGTCCTAGGGTGACTTGGAGGAGGTCATGTGAAGAGGAGATGAAGATGTGTGGGCAGACTTGGAGCCAGATGAAGACTCTAGCAGAGAACCGAACGCAATGGAGACGCACGGCTGAAGCCCTATGTTCCTCTAGGAATTAAAGGAAACAACAATAATAATAATCACTTTATAAACTTGAGGTCGAAATTCGGAACCCATTAAAGTATTCCAAGTGACTTTTCATCAGTAATTCCCTTGGTACTTTAAAAGACATTATCTTAACGGAAAAAAACAAACCAATACTTGAATATCAATGAGATGCTCACTAGCGTCTAGCCCTATTCAGGTAGGTAGTTACCTGGGTTCTAATGGGAAGCCATGACCAGTAGGGTACAGCAGGTTGGGTGTGAGGACAAATACTTCCCATCGATGACATCGGTTAGTGGTCACGCCATATCGTGAATTGGTAGAAGCTGGAATTCATGGACTGGCCATTGAATCGGGTCACAGTGGCTTAATGGTCTACGAGCTCGCTGGCCTTGTAAACAGAGGGTCCTGGATTCGAACGGTAGTGGTGGGTGCGTACTGTTGAAGAGTCCCAAACTAGGCTGAGAAAACAGCTGTCTGTCCGGTACTCCCTTCAGGTTTTCCTATGGTTCTCTAAGTGATGTCAGCTCATGATGAAATCCTGTACCCAATCAATCAAATGCCTACAAACCAATCCTTGAACGCATAATGTGTTTAGTGGGTAATAGATTGTGTTTTAGATGCAAATCCATGGTTGGTGTTTTTTTATTGTTTATTAAATGTTTTTTACAACATTCTATATGTGCAAAGTTTGTCTAAGGTGTTTGTTCACCATTTTTTCTTACAGAATTGTCGATCACGTTCGAGCCAGTCGTCAAAAAAATGTACAGAGAAATCAGTGGCTGGCAAAAGCAAATGAACCATCATCGCATAATGGGATAGGTAAGTAAACGTTTATCCCCGTAAATGTTATAATCCGATTCTATATCAGTGTTGCATGCATGAGAGTGTCATTGTAGTTCAGCATATAATTCCTGTTCTTTGTGTTGTTTATGTGAATGCACACTTTATATGATTTTGTACCTTGCTTATTACTCTCTTTGTTGTCTCTTGATCCCTTCTACATTTGCATGCTATTTCTGAAAATCCTCACTTTTGTTGTCGTTGATGGATATATATATCGAATGTTGTGTGTTATGGATTCATCTTATAAATGTAAAGTATCAAGTTCTATGATTGCATCACCCCGTGAACAATTGAAGATGAAGAATCCTGTCGACTATCGTCCACATCCTTTTGCTTCTGAATCTCCTATCTGTATGCCTGTCAGACGATCAGATTCCGGCAGCACACCAACAACTGATACGGAGAGGAATTTTCATTCACCTACTGAAAGTCTACACGGTGTTTCAGGTTACTCGACTTTAAACGGTTCAGTTTCTACATCAGCAACTGCTACTCCATCATCACACAATATAAGTAAGCCCTGATTTCTTTTCTCATCGATTTTCACAATTTTAATTTATTCAAAATAATAATGATGATGATGGTGATGGTGATATGTTTGATTCTGCATGATTTAAATCCTGCTGAATACTCTGCAAATTATATTCTCCCTTTCTTGGTTATGGTTTTTGGTTAGTGGGTCACTTTTCTACAAATAATCAATTATTATCTGAAGTCAGCATCATTTCAATTTTCAGTGCGAAATCGTTAAAGTATTTTTTTTCATCCCCATATGTAACCTACATGCATAACATAGAAAGCCCTTAAGAGTATTGTTAAGTTAGTCATATTGCATAATATTTTATGCATGACCATCAATAGGAAGTTATATTTACTATTTGTGGACTATCGTTAATTTAATCATCTCCCACCAATTAATATGAATCGTCATTATGCATAAAGTATTGACAGTATGCATCCAATTTTTTGGAAACCTATTTATTTCCACTGTGTGGGAATGGTCTTACATATTTGATTGTTTTCACTTGAGGTGATTGTTATTGCATGTTAATCTGTTTCCCATCTCAAACAACATAATTAATAGTAGGTTAAATATATACTGAGAAATTATTTTTTTTGTACTCTAGATGGAATTGTGTTTGAGATATTTGATTCTCACAGTGTCAACATGCCGAGTTCTCTGATATGAAATATCGGGGTATTTATTACTTTGATGATGAATGCTATTCATGAGAGTACATTTAAATGCTCCTTTTTTTTAAAAGTCACATAAACAGCGGCAACTGGTAAAAATCCTTTGCTAGAGAAATAAAGAAAGTTGGTATTCAATTCAGGAAACAAAAAGATACAGAGGGAGAAGCTGGAAGAAAGTGTGTAGCTAAAAAGAACACGTGGATAATCTGTACAAAGCTGACTTTTAGTATGGAATGGAAATATTTCATCAGTACTAAGTGAAATTTACCTAATAAATACATCCATCTCATAACTTGAGGACCTCACGTTTGATCGCCCGTGAAGTATATATACTTCACTGTTAGGCGTGTGAGTTTAAGACTATCGCCCACCACTCACTCAATGCTGCTCTTTGTTTTCCAGTAGTTCTTTAACAAACTTAAGTTCGTAACACAACTCTCTCTAATAAGTCATCGTTCCATTTTCGTTATCATTACGATCTCAATTTGGTGGTTAGAGCTACACATGATGAGCATTGCCTGTAGTTTTATTGCATGAACTGGTAGTATCGATTGTTTCGTTTCACATGCAATCTGTTGTATCATGCTATGGTAGCTTAAGTATGAATAAGTCTTGACACTCTTATAAAACAGCTCAGTTGCAAATCATCTGTCCTAAAACAACTTGTCTAATCATGATTTACCTCAGTTAATTTTGACCGAGCTGTTTGCATCCATTCCGATATTTTATTTTATGATAGGGTGCTCCCAGATTACTTGAATAATCATATTCAAGTTCTGCAACGTAAATACAAATTAATTCTGAAACATATCTTTAGACTTTGAGTTAGTCACATTGGCTCCTACTATGCAATCTACAAGTCTAATTTATAAGGTCCTCCCATTCGCTTTCATTCGCTTTCAGTATACACCATTGTCCTTTATTATTGCCTCAATCCTAACGTGTGTGTTTCATGACCCATTTCTTCCGGACTCAGTTTTACTGTTTTCTTAAGAGCTTCTGGTGAATTCTTTGTATATGGAACCAGAAAATTTGTAGTCAATGATGGCTTGGGGGTTACCGTGGAATCTGGTGTTATAACTTTAGTGTGAAACTAAAAGCTGTTTTATCTTATCAGTTGAAAACATTAGCTTTAAAATGTTAATTAATTTCGTAGAAAAACCCGTCCCAACTTTTTTGTGAAGCTTACTCTTCTATGTCTTACAACGATTAGTCTTAATTGCCTAAACTGTGAAGTTTGAACAAATCTGTATAATCTAAGAAATACGCTTTATATCACTTTCAGTGTATTACAAGTTAATCTGTAGAAGATATTTATACAACGACTTTTGGGAACATTGGTAATATTTTGGGCGCAATTTTACTGCCCGAGGTCATATGGCTCGTTGCTTTTTGTTCTTGTTGTTGGAAAGTAGTCGGTAGTGCTAGACAAAACTCTCCACCTGAATTCATTTTTACTCTTATCAAGCATGAGGTAAACGTTTATACGTTATTGATATAGTTCAGGCTACCTCACAAAAACAAACTTACATTCCATGGTACTACAGTCCATTTCACATTGGATTTGGGTGTACTGAACACTCATAGAAGCGTAACTCTGTCCTTATTGCAGTCTTATATTCTGAATGAATTTCATTGCCGAAGTTTTTCGACGCCTGCTGTGGTAATTGTCTGAAACACACCTACACGGTGTGTTACATGATTGAAAATCTATGGACAAGAGGACTTTAAACTGGTGTTCTTGCTAATAACAAACTGTGATGTGGAATTCCGATCTCAGAAATTAAACTTCTGGTAGTTTTATCGTTTGTAAGAATAGCAGTTTTTACTATACTAAGCAGCTTTGTCTCAGTTTATCTGCAACACTTTTAGTAGCTCTTCACAAAAGTTAATTATCCTTGATTATATTAAGTGATCAATAAAGGCCCATACTTATTAAAATATTCACCTTGCATACGCTCTTAATTAGCTTCTTTTAGGTTTAATAAACGACATGTAAAAATATGGTGCATCAGAAAGTCCATTGATTTCTAAATGTATTTCATTTGACAGTTCGACCTTGTACTCAAATAGCGTTATATATTTTTTTAACCTCATTGTTTGCTGCCTTCTTTTAGCACCAACCAAACGGTTTAATGATCCCTCTGTAAATAAGAGTGCGACACTACCCGCCAATGTACAACACATGAGTAAGTCTTTCAACAAGTCTAACCTATAAATCATTTAATTCTTTCCGCTTTATATTCACATTAATTTCTGTAAATGACATCGTCGCTTGAATATCGTTAATTGGAAGAAATTTCAAGCATATAAAATATTGTTTTAAGCGTATGTTTCACTATTAGCATTGTTAGATACTAGTTATCTAGAAACACACGTATACAGAAAATCATCTCAATTAGACTAAATATTCAACTATACAACTTTATTCAAAAGAACCAAAACACACTGCAACACTCCAGCCTCGAGGAGAATAGAATAGAAATATCTATTAACTGCCTTCAAGAAAAATAGATACCCTCACGGTTTCATCAAGAATGTCTACACTCGAATCAAACTGGCTATAAAAGAAACTAACCTCAGAAACACCAAGAAAATTCATCCTATATTATATTAAGTATGTTTTTGTGAAATAACAGCTAGAATACGAAAGTTGTTCAGAATAAGAGACGTTCTAAAAATACCATTATCACAAAAAAGCCAGTAACTTGTTTGAAAAGAAAGATGTACTATTTATTCGTAATTGTAATCTACCAATGACCAATTATCAGTAAACCTAACAACAACAAAGAGAGGGGACAGAAGTTAGGAATCTGCATTCAGCAACATTGTTTGTATTGTATATTAACAATAAATAGAAACAGGCAACAGTGAACATTTACAAAGTGTGGAAATAAGGAAATCTTCAGGTGTTGGTTTTGTAAGGATTTTGTCTGATTGGTTTGAGCATTTCATCATGAGCTGACAGGGAGGGGTTCTAGTGGGTGAGCCGTGACCAGTAGGGTACAGCAGGTTAAAGGTGAGGCAGTAACTCATTGAAGAAGACATTGCGAAGTGGTCACGCTATGGCATGAATTGGCAGAAGTTGGAATTCATGGACAGGCCACTGGATCGGGTCCCAGTGGCTTAATGGTCTGCGAGCTCGCTAGCCTTGTAAGTAGAGAGGGTCCTGGTTTCGAACCCCGTTGGTGTGTGGGTGCTGACGAAGAGTCCCAAACTAGGCTGACGAGACAGTTATCTATCCAGTACTCTCAACTTGTTTTCCAATGGTTTTCTAACTGATGTAAGCTCATGATGAAATCCTCCAACCAAATAAGGAAATCGTCAATCAACACTAAAAATATGACGTAGCATCGCTTATTAAGAAATACATTTCTTTCTTCCTTCACGTTCCCAGTGGAACATAGGGCATCAATCTAGAAGCTTGAAGTTTCTGTAGCAGTGTTTATTTTGACAGGATGGGGTTGCTAGCCTCATGTCCAACCCTTCCTCTTTACCAGCTTTTATTTCTGGTTTAGCGAGGTAAAGGAGTGCGTCGGCCGGGGATCGAACCCCGAACCATGTGCATGGTCGGCAAGCATCCTAACCGCTATGCCACCGACGCTCAAGAAATACATAACATTTAAGAAATTGAGTGTGACTTCACAAAAATTATACTGCTTCCAGTTTTTTTACTGTATAGTTTTTATGGTCTAACGATAATATTATCAAATTATTTCAGGTGTGTTTATTGTATTTTTTATTCTTTTTCAGCTGTTTTATCAAATTCGAATACTCTTCAGTCTGTCGATGGCGACCTCCTAAATACTAATGTCGAGGTTGTTTTCGTTTTTATCTTGCATGAAATTTGTGTTGTGTTGTATCGTGTTTCGTTGTTGTTAAGAGTAGCACTCATAAAATAAATAATAAGTGTGGAGCATGTTCACATAAAACTTAAAAAAGCATTGTGAATTTTCTCTTCATGTGTGTTGTGATACTATAGTTGCCGTATTTAACAAATCCAATCTACTCTGGTCATTGCTTTGCTATAATATAATATGTGTATACGTAAATTTAAGGGCTTCGCAGCAATGTGGATTTATATCAAATTTGTGTACTGTATTAATGAGAGAGAGAGAAAAAAGTGCAACACACCAAGTTTATAAAGTGTAAACAATGAGCTTAATTAGTTGCTGAGTCTGTTTTTTTCATAATTTAATAATAATGTATCATTATATATAGCCATGGAGAATTGTTATTTTCCTACTAATGTCCTTTTTTTCCCTACTCACTTTTTTAGGGAAGTAAAACACTTGAGAAGAAAATCAAGAAGAAAGGCAGTTTTCGAATGCCATCATTTTCCAGAAAAAAGAAACACTAGTACAGATTCGCTTTAATCCTCATGTCTGTATTTGTTTTCAATTCATTCTCATGCATTCGTCGTTGTCTTCATTGGTCTCTTCTGCTTGTGTGTGTGTGTGTGTGTGTCATTATTCTACGGCTACATACAAAGAATGGCTGAAACACACAACAGCAGCTGCTAGTTCGACAGCATGCATATAACATTTAAACAAAGAATGAAACAAACAAAAAAGGAAAAAAATCATTAGACGCGAGTTATTTTCTTCATCTCTCTGTGGTCGCTTACCTCCTCCTCCTTCTGCTCCTATTTGTGTGTTTTATTTGTCGGAATTAGCATTCTTTCTTTCGGCTTATATAAAAAAGTAAAGAAATATCTTCTCTTGCCAGTTAGTTGTCTGATTATTTTATAAATCTCTACACTATTTGATGATTAAGCTGTATTATTGTTATTATTATTATTATTTTTCTCACGTTTATATATGTGAGTTTGATTTCCGCCTTCATTAATTAAATAATATTGTCCCCGTTAACTATACTATAATATACACTTAGCTTTATTTTCTGAATTGTGCCATTGCTGATAAGCATCAACATTATATATACACACACATGCTTTTTGGATCGTATGACACGTCAGTTTCAATTCCTAGGTATCATCGCCTTCATCATTATCATCATCAGCATCACCATCCTTGGTATACTCAATCCTTTAACATATAATATTGATTATAATGAGTGTGTTACATGAGTGTTTAAACATCGGATGGGGGGGAGATGTGTATACATTTATGAATAGTGTTTCGTTTTTTCAGTGCTCTAGTGCTATGGTGGAATAATAGAACCGTTGATTCTTGTCTGTCTTTGTATACTAACACGCACACACGGACACCCTTTCGAGACAATTCACGTATATACAGTGTGACATTTTCCATTACACATTGTGAATATATCACAAAATTCAGTTGGACATTGGCGTTGTTGAAAGTTAATTTGTCTTTAATCCCTAATAATAATTATATTAAAAATTATATATAAATATATATAATTCCACAGAATGTTGCTCTTCCTTTTTCTTCACAGTTTGTTTCTTTTCAGATATTATAATATATGCATCATTACTCTGTGGCCTAATCTTAGTAAACCCAGTTTATTAATAATAATATTATTATTTATTATTATAAGTTATGCACAATTTTGTTTACTCTGTGAAATGAAATATGCATATATGAAGTATATATTTCATTTCATTCAAACCACTGTCCCTTTTCTTTCTTTTTTTCTAAATTACTTGTTTATATTGTAAGTTGTTTGTGTTAAATTGTAGTTTTCTATTCTAATTCTTTCTTCTATTTCAGAAAAAATCTATCTTTTTCTGTTTTTATTGTTGTCGTTGTTGATTTCTTAGATCGCCACCACCGCCTCTGTGTTTTTCTTCTCTCCATGATACTTGTCATTTGTGTTTGTGCTAACGCCTGAAGCTTCTTGGTTATTATTATTATTACTACTATTACTATTATTTTAAACTCGGTCACTTGTTCAGCTTATTAAAATTAATTAAATTATTGAAGTTTTTTTTGGTTGCTTTTGTGTTTTTGTATGGCTTACTATCTTTGTATTAGTGCGCCGATCAGTCCTCCATATATATATATATATATATATATACTCAAAAAATGTTTTAATGTTTACTACATTACTATATTGATCTGAATAACAATAATAATATTATTTTAGTCTAATTATAATAGAATTTTTTTGTTGTTGTTGATTAGTTATCAGATGTTTTTGGGCAGTGAGGCCTGTCTATATTTGATGATGTTTTTATAGTGACCGAAGATTCCTAGATTGTATGGTGATATGTGTGTGTTCGCCTGGTATATATATGGAAGGCGCAGTTCGATTCCTTTGTTGGGGGGGGGGGGGCTTCTGGCTTGTGCATCGTCGATGGATTCAATGGTAGAATATTCTACCAACCATGTCTGTGGTGCGTTTTCAATTCCCGACTGATGCATTCTTAAACCTCTCTTAGCTGGTGATAGTCGATCTGGTAAATAGAGAAGGTTAGACGTAAGGCTAGTATATCAGCACTCATAAGACTTCATAGCTTAAGCTTAAATTAGGCTTGTTTTACTTGTGAAAAGACAAAGGAATATTAAAAAAAATGTGATCAGTGACATTGTAGTTTGGTAAGTAGAATTCTATTCGGGAATTTTGCAGTATCATAAAATAATAAGCACTGAAGATTAAAATCTTCGCTTTTCAGTCATTTAAAATATTTATTTGAGATAACTGTCAAATTCGAATAGAAATGATGTCTAAAATACCACTGAAAGTTTCTCAAATCAAATCAACAGTCTTCGCATCAGGATCAGTATAAAGTAAAGTCTTCGTACTACTTCACCCTGCACTGGAATATTACTAGTGCATTTTCTATGAATTTTTACACGGATGACTAAATGTAGGGATTAAGACAGCTTATTATTGTCAGTGAATTATCATATGTCATGTGGATTCAATTACGAGTTGATTACTTTAACCGTTGCACAATTTTTCCACTTATTGTACTGAATAAACTTTTCATAGTCATAAGAAACAGGATAGATCTAGATAACTAGATCTTCTATTTGATGAATAGGTTTTGACACTTCACATCAGAAAGTTTTATATACGTATATGATTCTTACTAATATAAGGATTAGTGTAAGGCATCTTAGTCGAATATGTGGCATTCTGAAGATAACTCTGGGAAATGTACGCGAGGTAGACCTGCTATATGAAGGAAGCCTTTTTGACCTTGGGTTTATAGACGATATCGTCTGAATAGGCGATAACATTCAGACTAACCAGTTTGTAGTTAGTGCCTGTAAGATTGTTATGAGCCTGTACCAGCAATCTCATTCACATACGAACCGTTAGAAGTAGTTGATAAGTTCGTGTATCTAGGCGGTTGTGGGGGTCCAGGGGGAATTTTGACAGATGAAGTCCCTAATCGTAAACTGAAAGCCCCCGGTGCGTGCAGTTTTGTTTTACGCCCGCGAAATTTAGCTTCCGCGTTTAGAATCTGCGTGTCTGATCCTTGAAGTCTCCTGAAGGCTGCTTACGTCCAGTGGTATCAGTAAGCATATCTAAAGCCGGACGGCATCCGTTTGGATATGGTGCAGGTGGTATCCCAAGAAGTACTGTCATCTCGGAATAGTGTACCCGATTTCGTCCATCATCCAGATGAGTCATTAGGTTGATTTCGAAATGTCTTTCTAGCCCGTTGAAGCTTTAATTGTAAAAATGTTATAGGTCAGTCGAGGTGTTCAAAAGTTATTTGGTATTGCATTTATCCACGGTAACTTAGTCTCATAGCAAAGGGTTTTTAACAGATAAATCCTCCTCTCTTCTTGATGCCTATTGACTTCAATCTTGATCTTATGTTTTCTAGTAATTTTTACCAAAATGTGTATATAACAGTTACAGGTGTGTAATCAGATTGTCTGAACAATGTTCAGATTAACTATGAATTGGGGAAGTGAAAAGAAAAATCAGTTTTTAAAAATACCTGATTATTGGACATTTTTGATGTTCCCTTTCGTTTGGCTACATTTGTTTCTTTTTACTCAGCCATTATTTGACAATCAAACTACTATGACATATTAGTTTATAATATTCTTTCAATTGTCATCTAAAAGGATCTCTAAGAGCTTTTTGAATTCGATTCATTGTGTCACAAAATAATTTCAAAATAAACACTACATATATGTAATGAATGACTTGATAGATTTTGTACATCCCCCTTACTGTATACTTCTACCAACTATTTAGAATAAACTTCAGTCGTCTCCGTTAATAATATTACAAATTTATTCAATCTGTTTCATAGTACAATTATTCGATTACTTGTTTGTTTAATTTAACAGTTCTCCACTGCAATAGCAATTATTATTATTATTTCCTTTAATTCCTAGAGGAACACAGGGCTTCAGCCGTGCGTCTGCAATCGCGTTCGGTCCTCTGCTAGAGTTTTCACCTGGCTCCAAGTCTGCCCACATGCTTTCATCTCCTCTTCACATGACCTCCTCCAAGTCACCCTTGCACTGACGACCAACTCGTCGCTTCCCTTTGGGTTCCACTCGAGCAATGGCTTGTCTAGTGATGTCACTTGATGGTTTCCTTAGAGTATGACCAATCCATCTCCATTTCTTCCTGCTTATCTGTTGCAATAGCAATTACTTGACCCAAAACGGTGTTTTGTAAGGCGTCTGTTGATGTCATGATAGATATCTCGTATATAATTTATAGAATGGAACGTAAGTACACTAATATTGGGTTGAGTAACATGAATTTCTTCCGATAGAAAAATAGTTACCATTAATATGAAATTCAAAATTTGTTTGTCTCATCTTTAGACATAATGTGAGAGGGATGAGGCTAAAATGAAAATCATACAATGTGTAGCTCCGTAGAAGGCTGTAAGTGATTTGAAGGTAATTAGCAGCAAATAAAGAAATTTATTATTACATTTGAGGGGAATATGTAAAAATGCACCTGGGTCAATAATCTGGATTCTGAGTCATATTACTCATACCTACCACTTGTGATGTGTACAAGTTATGGACATGGATGTCTCAGAGAGTTCATGGCTTTGTACCATATTTTCGTTTGATTACTCCTCTATTTCTTGATATTTTCACTAACCTATGACGTTGAGATAAACTGTCGTTTGTCTGACGGAATAGGTGTCGCTGCCACCTCAGTCAACCAAGGTTCACAACTTCTACCGTATTCACTTTGCATTTCTCCATGAATTTTTGAAACTTTGTTAAAATGGCAGGTTTTATGTAGCAGTGGTTTATTTGACTCGTGCATGAGGTTGACCGTCGATTTCACTTGTATTGGTTTACTCTGCTATGGGTGTCATACTTCACTCGTTGTGATCAGTACCTAGTTTTAATTGAATTTTTTAGATTTTCCCGTCGATTGATTGGACTGAAGTGCTCGGTCTCAGGTTGACATTTCGGCCTCGGTGGGAGCATCATCACTCACTAGGAAATGCAGGTACATCCAGATGACGAGTCCCAAATAGGACGAAACATGCATCCTGGATTCCACTGCTAGTCACCATCCACAAATTAAGTACCTAGTTTTGTTGTAGATCTGCTGATGCATTATCTGACATATCTGAGTAGGGGCCTGTTTCTGACTATTCGATATTTAGCATTTGTATACCTTAGGCTTTTGTAGGTATTTAATTCACACTCCTGTCTTGCTTTACCATCCTTTATGACGGTAATGTTCTTTGTATTGATCTCCTCCGATGTCATCTTAGTAGAGATTTTATGGCGAACTTAAGAAATTTAACCACTATTTACAGAAACATTAGGCATCGGTAACTTCGACTTAGTCTCCATTTGGAACCATGTTCAATTATAATTAGTTATAGAACTTTTGAACCAAGTATCAGCAGCCGACGGTCAAGTACTAGTTGATCCATAGTTTCTTTAAATTCTGTATTGCGCATGTTGAATTTGGTTTGAGGGAAACTTAAATGACTCAAGCAAATAATGATGTAATATACCGGGAAAAGTTGAACTACTTCAACACGATATCATGAATAGTTGATTGTACAACATTCATCGTCTAGGTGTAGACTACTTTTTATTTATTCAGTTGTACTACATGATCTAAGGTTTCAATTTTGAAAAATTACGCTCTCTAGATCAATACACTTTCACAAATTTAAACCTGAATCAACCATTCGAACAGCCTAACGAAGAAACATGGAATTTGCTAATAATGTAGCCTGTGGGTGAAAACTGCCAAACATTGCTGTTTATTTCTTATATTCGAAGTCACATTCCTACACGTGTCGTGTTATGCCATTAAAACTAACCTTCATGCGACCATTGTTAAGAAATATTGAGAATGACGCAATGGGACAGCTTTTCTTCGATAGAAACTTGTTTTGTTTGTATTATCTTATGCTGTCTTTAAATTAAGGAAACATTACGGTAATTGGCAAAGTTAAACTTTAAGCACCACTAACTACCAATCAGCGATTGGCCTCGAACGCACCAATCACGTGAAAGAGGCATTTTTGTGTATGAAATACATATATTTATGAAAAGATGCATAAAAACTGTAGAAAAGTGTTACAGAGGATACCTTTCTCTCACATGTGATAAAAATAGCTCTCAATTTTAGGTTGGAGTATCAACAGAGTATAATTTCATTGTCAGTAAAATTTATTTTGATTAAGTCTCGTAGTATAATACTGTAATATTTACTGAGTAATAAATTGTGCTCGAAACGTCATCAGTAAATATTACTGTATAACACTGTGAGACGTTATCAAAATAAATTTTACCCACAATGGAATTATACTCTACCACAGTGCTCAAGTACTATTCTTATATCAACAGAGTAATTTAACCACATTCTGTGCATGTAATTATTTAGGTCCTCAAACTCTAACAATAACCTTACTCTTTCCTGAACCTAACCCTAACGTGAAAATATCCCTAAACTAACTGTAC